GCCACGTACGACGTGGTCCACTGTCTGTGTGTCCGTAGTCCCGAGCAGACCCTGAGGTGACTCCACCCCTCGCAGGCATTACACTTGACTGAGGTGGAGTTGTGGTGTAAACGTCTTCGGCATACACAGCAGGTGTATATTTCTGGCCCAGGGTTTGACTCGATGCCAGCCCTGAGTAGGAGAATGCGTAGTGAATGTTGCCCTATGGACGGACAACTTCTGAGATACTTCGCCGACCTAAACGGCGCTGGCGAGGACGATCAGGTAGCGGGGTTGCACTTTGGAGCAAGATAAATAATAGCAACCATTTAATGCTTGGGAGTACATACTTAAAACTACCATCATACCTTATTATCCAAGCCACTGCAAAACGCTCCAACTTGTGCACAAATAGCCAATTGCAGAGCTTCGTAGCAACTGCGTAGCTCGCTTTTATGAACGCACGTAATATACAATAGCTGCATACTGCAAAATAATTAATATTAATTAATTCATTACGGTTTTGCACAGAAATATTGCCATAAAAACTAACTTTTGTAATTCACTTCACTTCATTTTATAGTTTCTGCATTTTTTGACACTTTTTTTATATTTCCAAGCAGTGTTGTTAAGTTACGGAAATTTCCCTTTTGTGGAGCTATTTACAAATGAAGGGGACATTTCATCGACATAATATTTTCACGCATACATCATTCAAAGAGATGACGTAACCAATGTCGATAATGAATTATTATACGAATATGTAAAAGACTTTGCAAGCCTGAATTTAAATACTTACATATGTATATGAAGCGATATTTATAATTAATAAAACTGAAATCAGACACATAAATCACTTCTATTGCGACAATACTCTATGAAAATATGCGCTAAAAACAACATAACTTAAAAAGATATTTATTTTTTAAGTTAAAAGAAATTATTGTTAAACGAAGGTTTTAGTTGATTTATATATATGTATCCATTGCCACACAGGGAACTTTTGTTTGAAATTTTAACAAAGGCAACTAGAGTCGGCAACACTGTTCCCAAAGTTGCAAAACTAGAAACTCGAAACTATCGATGGTTGTATTGTTAGTATCGATTGTTTTCCTCTATTGTTAGTGCATTTCTGTTATATCGATTATTATTGCAAAAAAGTATACAGCAATGTGCGTAATAAAAAAACACGTTGATAACAATACTTTTAATAAAATGTTTAATTCATAGCTGATGAACGATACAGCATTTAAATCGAGTTTTGCACATAATATGCAATAGCTACATACTGTAAGATAATGATTGGCAAAATCTGTCATATATAGCGATCAATTTGGTGAAAACGAAGTAATATGAGAGCCAGAGTAGCCTTTCTACAATAATAGTAAACATGATGAGGCAATTGAACAACCTAACATTTGTTTGGTAAAATCTAAAATATTTGTTCCAGCTTTCTGTTGCTAACTATTACTACGTTTATACGTAAGCTATTTGCAAATAAAAATAATTTGCAAATACCTAACTTACTGTTTTTTATTAGATGGTGAAGAATGGCGGTGTCTTGCGCTTATTTGCAAATAGTACCACTAATCAATATTTATTTGCGTGATTTAGTTATTTGCAAATAAAAAATTAACTTAGCGTTTATGCAGCAAAGTTTACCATTTTGAAAACTGTTATTTGCAAATAATACGTGCGTATAAACGTAGTCATGAAAAAGCTAAAAGGTGGTTACTCTGGCAATAAGAGATACGTTTTGAACTATGCTTTGCTGGCAACCTTCTCACTTTTAAAAAAAAAAGGGATTTAGGCTACTCTGGCTCTCATGGTCCCATATGTATATCGATTAATTTAGTGATAACTAATATGGGCAAGACAAAAGCAAATGAAAACATTAAATTTTTACATAGGTGAGTATATATACATAATTAAACTAAAAATTTATTATAGGTAATTTTTAGGAAATATTTATCTGAGTTGTACAATTATACATATAGTAAATCGCATTTGAATGAATCGGGATAGTTGCAAAGCAATAAGAATTCTATCGATAAATTAAACAAAAGCGTAATCGTTACTTGTTGGTATCTAGTTCTGACACAGCTGATTAAAATAAATTGCGCAGAGTGGTGGTGAAAACTTTAATCGTCGTAACAAAATTTAAGTTAAATTATTAAAAACAAAAAAAAACATAAAATAAAACAAAAAGTAAGCAGCGAACAATATGAATAAGGTAAGTAGACGCCACCTTAGAAGATTAATTAGTAATGAAAGAGCAAAAAACCGGAAGAAATTGAGGTTAGGTACAACTAAGGCATATGCGGCTGCGGAAGTTGCTAGAATTGCCGAAATTGAAGAAATGCCTCCGGATGAGCCAAGTTGCTCAACGGAATTACGTTTCCAAGAAAAACTCAAAATGTGGGCAATTCGTAATCAAATATCTCGGAAATTTGTACGAAAACCAAGACATTTGGATGAAATAGCAAATTGGAAAGCTACCGAATTCCGCATGTTCCTTTTCTATTATGGAATTTATGTCTTAAAAGACTTTACTTTTACTTTACTTTTTTAACTATACTTTTCTTACTTTTTGTTAAAATACGAGATCAATAATAAATTTATTTTTATTTTCGAGCACTTTCTAAAAAAATTCGGAGCGCAAAACCGCAGCACCTCGATGGCGGCCATCCCAGCAAAAAAGGCAAAATGTAAGTATAGATTGTTTATTAATTATATTAGTACATAAGCTTAAAATCAATTTTAGATGCGAACAAGACTATTAACCCGGGGACAAGCGGTATAAGTCACGTCAATGAATGTACAATAGGTAATAAACTTCTGCAATGTGAAATTTTCATACTTTTGTGTTCGTTATGCTTAACTTTCATTATATTTTTAGAATCACGTAGAATCAGCATTTCGACGTCGACCATTGGATATAACCCCGGTACATTATTTAATTATATACATACATATGTACGTGACGTAAAACTTAAGCTACCAGCCTCTTACCTCTTGGTGGTTTATTCTCCAATCAAAACCATATATTTAAACCGAAGTTTAAAACTTTATTAATACGTAGCACTGCTATTATTTTCGCTGCAGATGTATATGAAAAACATATGTATGTACATACATATCGCCAACTGAATTGTAAAAGGTCGTAACTGAAAAAAATCCAAAATATTATTTTTGATTGACTATGATACATTTCATCGAATTACAAGTCCCCACATCGTTTTATCTAAAAGAAAGTTTGTTAGTTATGCCTTTTTGCAGTTTAGGTGGCAATATATATGTATGTACATAGTTATTATTGGTTAGCCGATTGTAGTTACAGCGTTTTTAAATATATTACTTATAGAACTCACCGAAGGCGTTTTGGAAGTTGTGTGTTGCAGCCACTGCAATTTGTTTGAGAAGCAACTTGAAACAATTGATGAGAAGCTGGATCAGCTCCTTTTGACTGTCGAAAGGCAAAACACCGCGATTATGGATGCGATTGCAAGCCAGAAAGTGGTTACACAGCAATTGGTTCGCCAAGAGACGCAAAATGTACCTGTGGCAAAATACTTCCCTGTCTGCGATATAGCGGAAATGGAGGAGCTTGAGGCAAAAATTTCTTCTGCCAACAAGGATGTATATGTACGCTAGTTATTTATTTATGTGTGAACGAAATTTGTAATATTTATTGTACCTATTTACAGGAATCTGTAATAGCATCAATTTTATGTAATAACATGAAAAATATTTCACTCGTCTTAAAAACGGACGTCATTGTAGCCTTAAACCTTGATGGTTCACATGGAAAAATTGGGCTAAAAAAATTTCCAAACTTTTATACCGTGTTGACAGGTAAATCGCAAAATTTCATTCTAATAAATTATGATTTCTTTTTAGTTTAAATTAAATTTTTTTTATAAAATTTTCAGGAGCCGTTGCCAAGTTACCATTCAAGGGATCGACGCCGGAAGAGATGCTTAGAAAAGCCATCCATTTTGAAAAGGCTAAATATTTTAAAAAACTTTACCGCGAAAAGCAAAAGAACAAGGAGAATTAAGTTCTTAAATTATTCTTAAGTGTCAAAAGAACTGAGGAAATCTGAAGTTTTTAAGTTTTTCACTAACCCCCCTATCATGAATTTTCACACGATAGACGATAAACGCTTGCAAGCGTATCGTACGAAATCAGTTCTCGTATAATCGTATAATCGTTTTCATATGACCGACAGACCGACTCTTTATTGTGAACCAGCACAAATCAGCTACGCTAATTATAGGATTTCATACGACAACATCGATTCGTAATAGAGAATAACAGAATGCAAGCGTCTATCGTGCAGCGTACGAATTCATAATAGGGAGGTTAGCGTTTGATAATATTAATATCATTGTTTTTGTACAAAGTTTGGAACTGTGATTTATGTTTTTTTCGTAGTAATTGCAACTTACTATTTATTTTATTAATTTTTTTTTGTTCCATTTTTACGGAACTCACTGTGCCTAAGACTGTGTCTAAGACTTAACCATGATAAAAACATTAGAAGGTAAAACCGTTCTCTTAATTCGTCGGCCATGATTTTTTTCTGACGTTTGCCAACATTTTAAAATCATATAAAATTGAGAGTAAAAAGAAGAAATTGTTCATTGTTTTTGTTGTTTGAGATTGAAAATGAGAATGTGTGTGTGAGTTTAAAATTAAATTGCTTGCAAACGTCAAGAATTTGAAAAATTCCTCACAGCGGTTTTACCTTCCTATATTTTTATCATGCTATAACTATGGAAAATTCGAATTATAGAAAATAAGAAAAACGAAATTAACATTAAAAGCAATTAGCAGTTTAAGACGCGTCTTGAATCTTCCACTTTATGCTACTAAAATTTAATCGGCTACAGAACTGCACACCTAAAGTTTTTCTAAAAATTCTTATTAAAAAGCTTAATTTTTTTGGGGGAATCGGTAAAATTTGTTGAATTTTTATAATTATTGTATAAAATTTTAAATGTGGATTTATATATATTACACATATGCGCTCGACTTTTATAAAAAAAAAGTAATAAACATAACATAAACAAAATAAAAATACCCAAAAAATGTCAGCAACTTAATTAGCTGACAACAATGGTATATAAAAATGAAATATTTATGGTTTATGTTTATATCACAAAGATATTTTTTACTTTTTTTCTCCAAATAAGTTGGTTACCTGAAAATAAATGTGAAAATAAAACTATATATAAAACTATATATAAAAAAATGTGTTTTGTAAATTTTAATTATTAATAGGCTTTTAAAATGTACCGTTGAGGTATTAAAGACGACTAGTCTCTATTTGTACCTGTTTGGGTATTAAAGTCGACTAGTCTACATTTGTTCCTGTGTGGGTATTAAAGATGACTAGTCTACATTTGTTCCTGTGTGGGTATTAAAGATGACTAGTCTACATTTGTACCTGTGCGGTATTAAAGGCGACTAGTCTACATTTGTACCTGTGCGGGTATAAAAGGGTACAATTAGTCTCTTCATAGGACATGCTCGAACAAAAGGGAACAGTTCAGTCCATACAAAGGGATGCAAAGTGGCATTAGTCGCATGTTCCTTTGCGACTCATCGCGGACACATCCCGGACTCGTCGCATTTTTTGCAGGGTACTTAAACCATAAATACACGCGTGGGTAAGTATTTATGTATGTATGCATGTCTTACTCTGAATTTACCTATTGAGTATTCCATGCACACTTTTCCGTTTTCTGTATATCAGCATCAACATCATCATCTTAACCCTTTTACAGCTCTATCGCTCCTCCTTGTCATTCTCCTTGCTACATTACCTACATATTAGAGAAATGTATTATGTTTAAAACTCTAACGACTGTGAACGAAATATAAGTCATACAGATATACATATGTATGCACATTTGTATCAACAAAGTGTTTGGAAATATCCCAACAAGCATTTCAGTAAATGTTTTTAAAAATAACTGAAAGTAGGTGTGCTATAATAAGCGTTCAAAAAGTTAAGTTTATTTAAAGTTTTTTCCAATAAACCTTTAATAAGTGTTGAGAGCGAATGTTTATAAATCACTTAAACTTAAAAATGAAATGCAAATGCTAAATGTAGATATAAAATTTCTTCAATTGTAAGTGACATGTTTATTTAAAATATATTTTGATTATGATTATTAAAAGAGAAAATAAAACAAAATCAACGCGGTAAAATAGACAGAAATGTCGCGTTTGAAAAGTGAAAAAAGTCGTGTAAAGAAATTATAAATTTGCTTAGTCAAGTTCGCGGAGGACAAATTGAACATAACGTTAACATTCGAGCTTTTAAATGATAAACTTATCCATGTTTACTTTTACATTAATATAAAAATTTGAAGTGGAATATATATCTACATAGCTGCATAGAACTCGTTTTTCCAATTTGCCAATAACCGCATGTAATTGAAAGGTGTGGACGCAACAAGATATAATAATTAACTTTTTTATGCTTTAAGTTTTGGTGTTATCATGAATTTATGTATTTTTATATATATATGTATATCTATTTTTTAGTAGCCAAAGAATCTTAAAATGTATCCTCCCAATTTATATTTTCGTGACTGTAGATGAATTCGCATTTATTGTAGTTTCTATATCTTATTTTTTAGAGAATATTGGGATGTTACTACATACATATGTATGTACATATGTTATATAAAGATTTCTAAATAAGGGCGGGTAGATGTTAAACAATGTATGTATGAGCTATTAATGAAATATCGTTTAAATAAAGGGTTATAAAAACGTTTATAAAAAGCTTTCTTTTGAAAACTTTTAGTAAGTTTATATTCATACGCTTATAAACACCTTTTTTTGAACCTTTATTATAAGTTTATATTTATACGCTTATAGCTTTCTTTCGAACATTTATTATAAATTTATATTTCTACACTTATAACCAAGGTTCCATTTCTGTTATATTAAGCTTGCTTTCAAACGTTTTATAAACAAATGTTAATGTATATAATTGTAAAATTAAAAAAAGCTTTATTTAAGTCTATTTTGCTTGTTGGGATTCTTTGTACCCCTTCCTGCTTAAACACTTATTGATGTATAATGAAGAAAAAAACTTTACATGCGAGTAGTACATATTTTATATGGGAAACTCCAGTTAATTCAGCTTTAACATTGCACCCTGAATATTCATACACCATCATCATGCACACATGCATACGTACTTAAACATATGGATATATGTACATACATATGCAGGGCCGTCGAGAGAAAACTAAAAAATCACTGGCACCAATATATACATAAAGTGTATAAAATTAAAAGCACGTGGCCCAAATCGCCAAAAACGAAACTGAGGGGAAAAATTTGTTTTCTCAGGTTTCGCAGATTTTTGATTATATCTGGGTCACACATATTAAAGTATTGCAAAATTCAACATTTTCTGTAAAAAGGTGTTGTGCCAAACTCGTAAGTTTACGAAGCTTTTATGGGAACGCCCCCTTTGCGAAAAGGCGTAAAAAGGTGCGCAAAGTTATTTTTTGACAGATGAACCAGGATTTTGTGAAGCAATTTTTGTTTCGTAGTATTTTCCATAACACTCTTGGCTAAAATACGATTAAAAATGCCGAAAATTAGCAGAAAGCCTAAGTTAATACAGTTAGTGGATGAAATTCATTAATTTTATTCGCGTATTATTTTTTAAATTCATTTTCATTATTTTATCATACATTTTAGAATAAAAATTTCGGCCCCTCGGCAACACTGAAGTTTGCGAGGTCGTTTGCGCATCAAGTTTGCCTCGTAAACTTACTAGGGGCTCGTAAAAGAGCTCCATACAAATTTTGACAGTTCTTTTTCGAGGCTCGAGCTTTACGAGGTTTACGAGGCTTCTACGAGTTTAAAGCAAGACCCCTACTGTTGTAGCATGTCATTGCTATCTATCTAAGCTGTTGTTCTCATAACGGTTGTTTGTAACAGGCAAAACGAATCGAGATAGATATAGACAAATGTATACATAAATTATCAGAATGAAAAGAGAAATCGATTAAGCGGTGACTGTCTGTCCGTCCGTCCGTCTGTGCAAACGATAACTCGAGTAAAAATTGAGGTATCTTAACGAAACTGGGTACGTGCCCTTCTCTCGGGCGTAGGACGGATGGTATTGAAAATGGACAAAATCGGACAATAACCACGCCTACCTCCCATATAACGGTAATTTGAAAACTGCGATATTTTAGTAACTACTGAAGATTAATAATAATAATAATAGATTGGCGNTTTGTTCACATAACGGTTGTTTGTAACAGGCAAAACGAATCGAGATAGATATAGACAAATGTATACATAAATGATCAGAATGAAAAGAGAAATCGATTAAGCGGTGACTGTCTGTCCGTCCGTCCGTCTGTGCAAACGATAACTCGAGTAAAAATTGAGGTATCTTAACGAAACTGGGTACGTGCCCTTCTCTCGGGCGTAGGACGGATGGTATTGAAAATGGACAAAATCGGACAATAACCACGCCTACCTCCCATATAACGGTAATTTTCACTCCGCTTTGTGTGACAACATCAAGGCGCACACCACAAATCGGAGGAGAAGCTCGGCCAAACACTAACATATGTGTAAGCGCCAATCTATTATTATTATTATTAATCTTCAGTAGTTACTAAAATATCGCAGTTTTCAAATTACCGTTATATGGGAGGTAGGCGTGGTTATTGTCCGATTTTGTCCATTTTCAATACCATCCGTCCTACGCCCGAGAGAAGGGCACGTACCCAGTTTCGTTAAGATACCTCAATTTTTACTCGAGTTATCGTTTGCACAGACGGACGGACGGACAGACAGTCACCGCTTAATCGATTTCTCTTTTCATTCTGATNATTTATGTATACATTTGTCTATATCTATCTCGATTCGTTTTGCCTGTTACAAACAACCGTTATGAGAACAACAGCTTAGATAGATAGCAATGACATGCTACAACAGTAGGGGTCTTGCTTTAAACTCGTAGAAGCCTCGTAAACCTCGTAAAGCTCGAGCCTCGAAAAAGAACTGTCAAAATTTGTATGGAGCTCTTTTACGAGCCCCTAGTAAGTTTACGAGGCAAACTTGATGCGCAAACGACCTCGCAAACTTCAGTGTTGCCGAGGGGCCGAAATTTTTATTCTAAAATGTATGATAAAATAATGAAAATGAATTTAAAAAATAATACGCGAATAAAATTAATGAATTTCATCCACTAACTGTATTAACTTAGGCTTTCTGCTAATTTTCGGCATTTTTAATCGTATTTTAGCCAAGAGTGTTATGGAAAATACTACGAAACAAAAATTGCTTCACAAAATCCTGGTTCATCTGTCAAACAATAACTTTGCGCACCTTTTTACGCCTTTTCGCAAAGGGGGCGTTCCCATAAAAGCTTCGTAAACTTACGAGTTTGGCACAACACCTTTTTACAGAAAATGTTGAATTTTGCAATACTTTAATATGTGTGACCCAGATATAATCAAAAATCTGCGAAACTTGAGAAAACAAATTTTTCCCCTCAGTTTCGTTTTTGGCGATTTGGGCCACGTGCTTTTAATTTTATACACTTTATGTATATA